ATTTAAATTTGAAATTATCATTGCGTTCATTAGAGACATTACAAATTGATCCCATCAAACGTGTTATTGGGGTTTAAAAATCTTCCTTGCTTGTTCCGAGGTCTTTTATTTCATTTTTTTAATTGTCATCTTATTTAAAGGTTGTATATTAAGCTCTATTTGATGAATAAAGGGTTGTAGTTACAACATTAGAAAGAACTATGTTTTTAAGAAGTCCGTTTTGAGTAGTGTATAAAAATTTGATTCTTCATAAAGAGCATTTGGAGCTTGCTTAATCACAAATTAACATAGTTATGGAACTCCACGAATAAAATACCTGTTGTATATAGGTCTAGAGGTTTACATTTTGTTGTGTAGCATATATCTCAGTCTAGGATATATCTACACCTTTATGTGTACAAACATAATATATGCGTATATGCCAATTAATGGAAGGATGATGAACTTTTGTATAGATACTAGAAGGCTGACATTTCTTTGAAGGTGTCATAACTTATTTCCATTGCTTAATTTTCTCAGAAATGCATCTGTTCTCATTGCTAATTGAGATGTTTAATTATCCATGTGGGATTTGGTGACTAACAAAAAAAATGATATATTTGATGCTGTTGGGAGTTAGAGCCAGATTTCAGATATAATTTTTATATTATTTTGTATTTGATGCTATAGTAGTTAAATTTTTATTTTTTGTATTTGATTGAGATGTTTAATTATCCATGTGGGATTTGATGACTAACAAAAAAAATGTTGTATTTGATGCTATAGTAGTTAAATTTTTATGTTTTTTTGTAATTAACATTAACACATAATTAAATTGTCATTAATTATTTTTATATTTATTTTTCAGATATTTCTCATGTAGGAGTGTGCATCTTGTGGAATGCATGCCTGTGGAGAATGTGGCTAACTTTTGTTTTTGTTATCTATGAAGAATGATAAGAAAAACATTTAATTTTGATTTATGTTATTTTGAATTATGAACAAAATCATATATTTAAACATTATATATGTATTATGGAACATTATGTAGTGGGATAATTTTGTTGATGTGTAATTATGAATGGAAGAATATTTTATTATGCAGAAATTGTTATCTTTATACAGGAATTGTTATCTTTATACAGGAATTTTTATATAATTATGCAATTATTATGGAGAAATTTTAATATTTTTAATAATTTTATTGCAGGATGTTTTTTTTCTTTTTTGTGACGGCACTACACCGTCGCAAAAAATAGAAAATTTTAATTTTTTTATTGATTTTGTTATAGGTTTTACTTTTTGCGACGACACTAAACTGTCGCAAAAAATAGAAATTTTATTATTTGAAATAGAAAATTTATTATTTTTTTAATACTTTTTGCGACGGCACCACACCGTCGCAAAAACAGTGTTCTTGCCATTGCAAAAAAAAAAAGACTATTAGCGACGACATTTTTTGCCGTCTCAAATAACATTTTTAGCGACGGTAAAATAGTGCTGTCGCAAAAAGTCAAGAAATTTGAAAACATTATTAGTGGCTGCAAAGTGCCGTCGCAAAAGGCAAAAATGCCGTCGCAAAACATTAGCGACGACATTGTGCTGTCGCAAAAACTCTTTTGCAACGCTCCTAGTTACGACCCCCCTCTTGTCGTCTCAAAAAGTCATTTGCCGTCGCAAAAAGTTTTTAGCGACGGCATTAGGAGTATTAGCGACGGCATTTTGCCGTCGCAAAAAGCTGAAATTTTAGTAGTGCAATCACTCCATAGTAGGGGTGGGCAACGGTTTATTCGATCCGCAAAAACCGCCCAACCCGCCCAATCCGCACACAAATGGGCGGTTTCGCAAATACAATGCGGGCGGATGCGGTTTGAAATATGGCATCTTTGCGGGTTGCGGGCGGGTTGCGGGTTTAACCCACACCCGCAAGAAACCGCCCGCACTTTATTTATTTATTTATTTTTTTATTTTTTTATCTTAACTATTGTTTTCATTTTTATATCCCACCTAAATATTTTTTTTCAAAACAAAACACCTTTTATTTTTTAAACTTACTCTAGCATTACATTTGCTAAGAATATTATATCAACTGAAACTGAATAAATACTAATCATATTATTATTGTTATATAACTGAACTTGTCCCGGATGAAGTGTGATTTGAAATTTTAAATTCCTTAATGAATATGGAGTTATAGTTTAGGATTTTGAAATATATGCTTGTGTTAGTTTATGAATTGATTTAAGATTTTGAATGATTTGTTGTATTACGAATTGATTTTGTTGTATTTTTAATTTTATAAGTTTTAATTCATTAATTATTAATGCTGGAGCATTTTAGAAAATGGAGAGAAAATTACCCAAAATAAATATTTACAAAATGAGAAAAAAAACAAGGCTCAAAAATTATTTTTTGAAGCAAAAAGTCCAATCCGCAAACCGCCCGCAACCGCCCGCACATCCGCGAACCCTACCCGCACAAACCGCAAACCGCACTGCGGGCGGTTGCGGGTTGTCTTTTCTCCAAACCGCATAAATGCGGGCGGGTCCAAACCGATCCGCAAACCGTCCAAATCCGAACCGCGAACACCCCTACTCCATAGATATTATTAGGTATTATTAGGTATTCAAGCAACTCAATTAAATCAAAAGAAAAAGTTATATATTTCAAGAAACATGACATAAAAAGGGAGCAGAAGAAGAATACAATATTTTTTTGTTTTTTAGAGACTTTGTCCCTGCAAAACACACAAAAAAAAGTTAAGGGAATTCATGCATTACTCAAAACTAAGTGCTTTAGCTACTTCTCAAGTCTTAACTCTAGGGATGGCAATGAGGATTAATGGGGTGGATATTAATTCCTCACCCCCATTCCCCTATAATAAATTTTTTCCATTTCCCATTTCCCATTCCCCATTCCCCATGGGTACCATCCTCCCCATTTTCTAATGGGTTTGGATTTTCCCCAACCCCCTTTAACCCCCATTTTTTTTTTTTTTTTTTTTTTTATATTTAATTTTTTTTTTTTTTTTTTTTAAATTTTTTTTTTAAGGTTCACAACCATTTTTTTTTTTTTTAAGATTCACAACCAAGGATGATGAACTTTTGTATAGATACTAGATGGCTGACATTTCTTTGAAGGTGTCATAACTTATTTCCATTGCTTAATTTTCTCAGAAATGCATCTGTTCTCATTATTGATTGAGATGTTTAATTATCCATGTGGGATTTGATGACTAACAAAAAAAATGTTATATTTGATGTTGTTGGGAGTTAGAGGCAGATTTCAGATATAATTTATATGTTTTTTTTTGTATTTGATGCTATAGTAGTTAAATTTTTATTTTTGTATTTGATTGAGATGTTTAATTATCCATATGGGATTTGATGACTAACAAAAAAAATGTTGTATTTGATGCTATAGTAGTTAAATTTTTATGTTTTTTTTTTTGTAATTAATATTAACACATAATTAAATTGTCATTAATTATTTTTATTTTTATTTTTATTTTTCAGATATTTCCCATGTAGGACTGTGCATCTTGTGGAATGCATGCCTGTGGAGAATGTTGTTAACTTTTGTTTTTGTTATCTACGAAGAATGATGAGAAAAACATTTAATTTTGGTTTATGTTATTTTGAATTATGAACAAAATCATATATTTAAACATTATATATGTATTATGAAACATTATGTAGTGGGATAATTTTGTTGATGTGTAATTATGAATGGAAGAATATCTTATTATGGATAAATTGTTATCTTTATACATGAATTTTTATATTATTATGCAATTATTATGGAGAAATTTTAATATTTTTAATAATTTTATCGTAGGATGTTTTTTTTCTTTTTTGTGACGACACGACACCGTCGCAAAAAATAGAAAATTTTAATTTTTTTATTGATTTTGTTATAGGTTTTACTTTTTGCAACGGCACTAAACTGTCGCAAAAAATAGAAATTTTATTATTTGAAATAGAAAATTTATTATTTTTTAATACTTTTTGCGACGGCAGTACACTGTCGCAAAAAATAGAAAATTTCATATTTTTAATACTTTTTGCGACAGCACCACACCGTCGCAAAAACAGTGCTCTTGCCATTCCAAAAAAAAAAAGACTATTAGCGACGACATTTTTTGCCGTCTCAAATAACATTTTTAGCGACGGTAAAATAGTGTCGTCGCAAAAAGTCAAGAAATTTGAAAACATTATTAGTGACTGCAAAGTGCCGTCGCAAAAGGCAAAAATACCGTTACAAAACATTAGTGTCGTCGCAAAAACTCTTTTGCAACACCTCTAGTTACGACTCCTCTCTTGTCGTCTCAAAAAGTTATTTGCCGTCGCAAAAATTTTGCGACGGCATTAGGAGTATTAGCGACGGCATTTTGCCGTCGCAAAAAGTTGAAATTTTAGTAGTGCAATCACTCCATAGGTATTATTAGGTATTCAAGCAACTCAGTTAAATCAAAGAAAAAGCTATACATTTCAAGAAACAAGACATAAAAAGGGAGCAGAAGAAGAATACAATATTTTTTTGTTTTTTAGAGACTTTGTCCCTGCAAAACACACAAAAAGGTTAAGGGAATTCATGCATTACTCAAAACTAAGTGCTTTAGCTACTTCTCAAGTCTTAACTCAACAAAGTGACATGGCATTATCCCCTTTCTAGATCAGGCAATACATCCTATCACCACTTCATTGCTTATTCCGCCTCCAAAAAAAGCTAGTGGATCAACCAACCTTGAGTAGAAATCTAAAAGTCCAAACGTATCCTGTTACAAAATGTTAAACTTGTGCTAATGGACTACTGCCACTTGGATTTTTAGAATATCTCATAAGACATGAAGCAATTCTCCATCCATGCACACTATTAGAAATATAACTTTTTGCGTCTATTTTTTTGCGACCGATTATTTGACCGGTGCAAAAAATTTACTTTTTACATCAAAATCTCATTTTACTTGACCTAATCGTGTTCTTAACAAACAAAAAAAAAATATATGTTACATGCCCAGAAATTTTTTTTTAAACAGATACGTGCCCAGATTTAGGCGCCCATATATTTACATCCTTTTTCTGTCTCTCTCTCACACAAAGAGCCTCACATCTTCTCACTTCACCGAAGTCCCTCACTACCGTTGTTGACGTCCGTTGCACATCGCCACCGCCGCAATACGATCAGGTTCTTTATCTTTCTCCTCTCTCTCTCTCTCTCTCTCTCTTTCTCTCTCTTCCTCTATTTTCCCATTTCACACTCTTGCTCTAGGGTTTTACATGATTTACCAAGTCTGATTTCGTGTTGATTTCTGATATGGGTTTGGCTTAAGTGGTTTGATTTCTAGGGTTTTATGGGTTTGGTAATAATCAATTTGTTTGCCTAGTTTTGGGGCTATTTTTTTATGACTGAACCCTTATTGTTGTTTATTGGGTAGACAAATACAAGAAATTGGTTTTCATTTGCATATGGATGGGGTTTGCTATTTTTTATGACTGAACCCTTAATTTCATTATCCTATGGTTGCTTGATTGAGAATTCTCTTGGCTCTCTGTGTTTGAGTTTGGTTTGTCCTCATATTGAATTGGATTCGTGGTTGTTGATTTGTACTTTCCATACATTTGTTCTTTCCCATGAATTTGTTCTTCCTGTTATATCTTTCACCCTCCAACTGCTTGATGCAATGCCCGAATCAAAAATTTACTTGCTGTGTGCATATTATTGAAAATTAAATGTAGTGGCTATTTGTACTGATATCATAAAAAGACAAAGAACAACTGTGTACAATAAATAGAAAACAATGGAGGATCTTTGTAACTCCCACCCATGGTATAATGTTGGCAACAATCAGGACTGAGGAGTGAATTTGAAGAATGGCTTCATGTTGGATTTTGATGTTTTTAAATAAATAATGTGAAGACAATGTGTTGTGTAATCCTTTACTGGAACTAATAAATGTCCAAACTAACTGTTGTTGTACAGTTTTATGTTGTTTTTTCCCTTTCCCCTTTTATAAAAATCCATGCTTCTTGCAATGTATATCGGATTTTCACTCTGCTCTTCTATGATTTGTTTGTGGTGTTGCTTTCACTTGAATTGGATAGACATCATATATCTTCATAAACGTTTATGTCCTTGCTTCCACTATAACCCTTTTATGTTATGGCTATGGACTTCTTCTTTTTCCCAAATTTATATGATTTGTGTTTTTGCCCCATCATTAATTAATTCCTGCTCACCTAAACTCCGCGCTCCAAAGTAAGAGACTTGTGAAAAAATCGCTCCCATATGAGGTAAATATATAAATCTCACAGAAACAAAATAAGAACAATTCAAAATTTTTCTATTAGTTTCTATTTACTTAACAAAGCAATTTATACATAACAAAGACAATTTATAGTTAGACATCAATCTCTAGTGTTTTCATATTTTAACACATATATTACAACTAAGTAGAAAAATATATTTGTTGTATATTTATATATTTAATATATAGAATGTATATATGTTCTCAATGGCACTACCAACTTAGAAACTTCTATATACTCCCACTCCCATCCCTACCCCTTCAGATTCTGTCATTGTTGAAGAATATTTGACTAATTTCCTCTTCACAAATTCACTCTTTGTTTTCCTTATACAAACAGTTTTTGGTTGTTCAACGATCGGGTTCTATCAATAACTATCTCGCTTAAATATAATTATTTTGCTCTTGAGTTACTCAATAGTGAATTTTTTCATACTTAAGCTAATTAAACAGAGGCAATAACGAGCTGCATGAGTATTTCCAATAGAATGTTCAGCAGAAGATCTGCTAATGGGAAACTTTTATTTCTTTACTCAATATTTAGCATGAATATTTTGGGATGATGCTTATCTGGTTGGAGCTTTAGATGATTTTATGTTTACTTCCAGATACGATCAGGCACTAGTATGAATGCTTTTACTTATTGCAACATAAGGCTTTTGTTTGTTAGCACAGTTGTATTTCTGGTGAGGAAACTTTGAGAGGGTACTCTAGTTTATTGTAGTGTGATAAGGCTGTCATCTGCTGTATTTTACTTCTCTATAGTTTTAAATCTTTTCTTTTTGTTTGAACTGCTTGTTAGGAAGATGTAACAAGGCCTAATGTTAAGCTTTAACTTGCACCCAACAAGCACCTAGATGATGAGGTAGAACTAAATGACGAACTAAGATATGAGATATGGATAAAACATGATATATAGGTACATGATCACACGGAAAATTTTAAAAAAGACCCAATTCTTATTTGAAATTCATGTCCGTATGTCAATGCAGCTAGGAGTCTAGTACTTATGACGGATCGGAATGTATGAGACAAACCTATCTCTTTGAGACACGTGGCTTTATTATGGAAGATCCTTTGACCTAATAAATGGGTTATTTAGTGGAATTAGTTCATCATTGCTCATAAATGAATTTTTTTAGCAATTACATCTGGTTAACCAAGATGCCACTATTTTTTTTTTCATCCTTCATTGCGACTTTAAAAGAGTCTTGTTTCTTTTAGGATTCAACGTTGAGACAGTGGAGTACAAGAACATTAGAGGAAAGGCTAAGGTTAAAGAAAGGAAGAACAACAAAGAAGAGAAGGAGAAAAATTATAAATAGATTATCGATCAAGAACTCTAGGTAAGGATTACATGCTTGATTCTTGTAGATTAATTATCTAATAATTAAAACCAAGAAATGATTAGGCTCAATTTCATGTAATTGGAAAGAATTGAGGTTTAATTTGCATGTCATATACGTAAATTAGAAAGAGGATGAAGAAATTGAGTTAGGTTTAAAAACAAAAATTAAAGGAATTAAGAATTGGTTTGATTTTGGCTTTAAATTCATACCTTGTCAGATATATTTTGTTGCTGCTGTGGACAAATTCTTTGCTAGAAATATGTAAGCTCCCTCAATCTAATATATAACTAATAAAATCCCATAATTAAAACCGATTGCTTTATAGTGTATGTTGAAGCCAAGGAAATTGGCATATTTGCAAACTGGGCTCTGTTATTGAAGATAGAGATAAGGGGATACATAAATAAAATTCTTTTCTTGAAGTTTTGTCTCTATTTTTCTTATACCTAATGTGTTTTTGTGTGTGTGTTCTTTTTTTTTTGTAAACCCGAGACTTGCAATTATGTCTCCTATTGGTAAAATGCTCTGTCAAGTTTACTGTTCCATGCTGGTGTTGAATTTGTGTAGGTCACAGCACATGACAAAGCCCAAAATATTGTGTTGAATTTGTGTATGTCATTTGGGTCCTCATTCGGTATTGACCTTAATTGTGTTGGATTTCAGTTTGTCTTTATTTTTTTTTTTATCCAGATTACTCCTCCATTTGACCTAATGTGCTTGCATGTCTTGTTCAATGGTCTGTGATTTTAGACTCAATCCCTATTTTGTGTAACATCTTTAGCTGAAGCTATTACTTTTGTACTCTTTATCTACGACTTAGAAGATTCATGGAATATATTCACTTTGTGGCCTGAACATTAATAAAATGATTTGATCACGCTAATAAATCCCTAGCCAATATCACTACCTTAGCCAACAAACCATTATCTCTAAGAAAGCAAGTCAAAGAAAATAACAAGCAAAGAAAATAAAAGTATAAAAAGAGAGCTTAATGACTTGAAAATACAATTCAATTTCCTTCCAACTTGTTTTGAGACTAGGACCTATATACATTCATCTAAGTTAATTGCCAAAAAATTTAAAATAATCAAACTTAAATAAATGCCCTCTTACCTATAAGGAGCACATTCAATTTTAGTTGATGAAAGACTACTGATATAATGTGTTATCATAAAACAAGATGACAAAGAAGGAAGCCACTAAATTGACTTGCAGTGAAAGTTGCCTAAAATTTGAAGACACTGCACCATGACTGAGGCTTAGGAATTTATTTGGACTCAAAAATGCCTTTGTCCCACACTCCAATTTTCTCCATTTTCAAGCATTGTGAGAATCATATTCAATTGTTTTTCACTAGCAAAGATTTTTAGTTGAACCATGGATAACAGTATTAAAAGATGAATCTAACCTGTAGATTCTAGCTTTACTTCCTTTGCACGCACCAGACCAAAGCAATCAGTCAAAGAAAACTTTGAAAGCCTTCTTTTAAGCACAAAAGTTCATAAAATATAGATGTTGATTTAGAGTTGATTTTGTGCTGTCCCTACTCTACATTTTATTATGTATTACAGGGATTCCTTTCTTCTCTTGGTATACTTGTTTGGGATTAATCTAAGATGAAGACAGTTTGGAATACAAAGCATTGTTAATCTGTTGAGTTTCTTTAATGTTTTATTATCTTTTTCTACATTCAAATGTCCCTCATGGGCTGTGATAAAGTCATTAAATTCAGTCTAGCTACCTGTGCGTTATATTTTTCAATGGCAATTGGATGCCTTCTACATATTTGAGAAGAATAGATTTGTAATTGACTGTGGTCATAGAGACTATTGATTTTACTTCCTCTGCCATGCCTTTATTATAGTGTTGTTGTACTACAAGTATTTCTCTGATAATTGTAGACCCTTTTGATGGGACTTAAGACTTGGTTTGGTTTAATTGTAGCATCTTCTTGTAGCTGCTTATGTTATATGTTTGGGGCTAGTTTGCTTTCCTATAGGAGTAGGAAATATGTATTTGTATTTGCATATGTATTTTTATTCATTTATTTTGGCTTGATAAGATGTCTCTATATTTGTATTTATGTGTCTCTGAGGGTACGTTGAGGCTTATGCTGTATTTTTTTTGTCCCTTTGTAGGTCAAACTTACTCAAAATGGGTAATAGACAAAGAGTATGATTGGTCTCCCAAATGCTATCTATGTCATGCTGTGATTGAAGAGGGGGCTGATCTTCAAACTAATCGATTGTGTTACTTGCATATTGTCAAACATCATACATGCAGATTTTTCCTTTACATGCAAGCTGGCTGAACTTATACTGAATAACTACTTTCCTCTTATTTGTTTTGTATGAAATTATTATTGTAAGTTGGAATGTACTTGGTTTGTATGCAATGTTGACATTAAAAGTTATTCTCTTGTTTGGATGGTTGTAAATGAAATAGATGCAGATTGTGGAATGAGTGATAATTTATATGTATTGTTTTGTTTGTATATCTATTACAAGTTGCATGAGATACATACAGGTTGTGAAAAAATTAATTAAAATAAATAAAAAAAACATAAAATGTTGTTTTTGGCGACTAAACAATTGGTAACAAAAAATGGTGTTAAATATTTTTAGCGACTACATAGTTAGTAGTTAAAAAAGAATAAAATGGAAACAAATCTTTTGGAAATTAAATATTTAGTAGCCATTTAAAAAAGACTTTAGGCGACTAATGATTTAGTAGCCAAAAATTAAAAAAAAAAGAAAAAAAAACTTTTGGCGACTAAATATTTAGTCGCCAAAACATAAAAATTATATGATAGGCGACAAAAATTTTAGTAGCTAAATAAAAGAATTTGACTTTAGGTGACTGAACTATTCAGTAGCTAAACAATAAATTAGACTTTCGGCGATGAAACATTTAAGTCGCCCTAGAAACCTCAAGTTTTGGCGATAAAAATTTTAGTAGTTGAAAATGTGATGTTAAATTAAATTGAAAGCTTTTGGCGATTAGTCACCAATTTAGACTAATCAGCGACTAAAGATTATTTTGTCGCCAATACATTTACTTTTGGCGACTAAAGATGTTTTAGTCGCCAATACCTTTCCCGACAATCTTCTCGCTACAAATCTGATGACCAAAATATTTAGTCGGGAAAGTTTTTCGGCAACTAAAATCTTACTCATGGCGACTAAAAATCTAGTCACCAAAAGTACAATTTCTTGTATCCTTGAAAAATAATAATAAAGATATTATGCTGGAAAGTGGTTTATTCATTTGTCAGTATATATTTCTAGATAGTGGTCTATCTGTCACATTGTCTTCTATATATATATATATATATATATGAATAGGATTTTGAGTTCTTGTTGTGTCTCAAAGCCACCATATTTTGTTTACAATTAAACCAATTGGAAGTGAAAGTGGCAATGTGGAAGCCATGTGAAGATTTAGAAGTAGAATAATTATTTGTGGCAATGTACAAATATCTAACCATCAATTTTATATACAATTGTAGAATCTAATTATATAATTAGATGTTATTTTTTTAATGTAAAATAGGACTCTCACATTTAATAAGTCGATAAGTCTTGATAATTATGTAAGAAAATTGTATCTTATTTTATAATTACATTATGTGCACTTAATGTTTTTTTTTTCCTTTTCCATACTGTAGACACGCCCGAACGTCTCGGGAAAATCCCGTTTTGTTCGTTGGGCTCACTACAGTTCGGACTCAATGTCACGGTTTTTAATCTGATCTTACAAAGTGCAATGTGAGATTGATAAATCACCAAAGAGTCCAAATCCGGCAAATCGTTTTGAAAAATTGATTTTTAGAAAGAAGTGCCAAACATGGACTGCTTTGCCAGATACAGAGTCGCCACCTAAATATTTTATTTTTGGGGAATTTAGGAAACCTTGACTCATGCCTAAGGCCACGTGTCCGTCATCACTAAAGTTGCCTCGGCTTAGGAACTTGGGTACGATTGGGGAAGGTCACTTCGTGACTACACATGCAAGAAGACAAAGAGGCACTGCACTACACCTATTGAAACCAAACATGGCATGACTTGGACAGCATAAAATAGAGTTACATTAAGGTATAACAAGACCAAAAAAGTACGAAATTGATGAGCCAAAGACTTAGGCTTAATGGCATGCACAAAAGTTCATTCTCGAGCCCTAAAGAGCCAAACCTCCAAGGCATTAAAAGCATGGAAAATGCAAGTATATGGCCACATTTTATGGACTGATATAACACTTAGAAGGATGGCAAAGCATGCAAACATCACATGTATGGCATGGTAGGGGCCTCAAAACCTAAGACTAGCCTAAGCATTTACACTGTTGTTATACAAAGCATGAGTGATATGCCCATGGCAGCCCAAAATAGTCCAAGAACAGCTCAAAGCAAGGATAAAATCATGCTGGAGCAAAGCCAAAACATGCTGGAATGATGAGTCAAAACATCATGCACATAAAGCTAGTAAGCAAGATTTGTTCTACAAGTATATGGAGCATGCAAAAGATGACCAAACCCACTTTAGAAAGAGTTATGTCATGGAAAAAAATCACCAAAAACATGCTGAAATGGACTCAACATAAGCTAGGCAAACATGCTACTTTGATGAGTCACAAATGGGATTATACTACACATACAACAAGCATGCACAAGATGACCAAACCAGCCATGGACAGAGTCAAGGCAGGTCCTAAAAGTCACAAAAAAGGGCCTGAACCAAGCCTCAAAAGTAAAGGGACACATGCTCCTTTGAGAGGCCAAAAACTCAAGCAAACAAAGCTAAAAGAGAGGGGGTCACCCCCCTCTGATTTGAGGCCTCAAAACCACATGCCTACCACTAAAAATCCACTGGATTTCAATGGTAGAAAGGTCATGCAAAGGTTAGAACAAGAGCCAAAATGGATGGCTCGAAACAAGGCCTAAGAGGGGGTGGACCTCCCCCAATGCAAAAATGACCTTAAACAAACATCACAAGGACTAAAAAACAAAACTTTTTATAGTAGGAAGTTAAGCTCAAATCAACATGCAAATATGGCTAGGAGAGTAATCAAAAACAAAGCTTAAAGAGAAGAAAAGGGGTTACCCTTGAAGCATTGCAAAACCAGCAGGTTTCCTAAGCCAAAACCAACTTTTGAACTCCCACAAGACCCTCAAGCAACTTAGCAACAAGGTAAGAGTGTTTGGCTAAGAGGTTGTGTGCACAAATGAAGGAATAACACTCTTTAAGGCACAAAATATAGAGGGAGAGAAGAATATAGAGAGGGAGATGTATCTATCACCCTCAGCCAACTTCAGAACCTGAGACAAGAGAGAGAGCCTTTCCTCTTATAGAGAAACAAGCACCAAGCTTGTTGAAGAAGTTTGAAGCTAGATGCAATCCCTCCATACACGTGTATGGAAGATGCAATCTGTGCACTTTGGCTGGCACAGTCGGCATCCACAACACCTGTAGAATATGCAGGAAGACCGCCGACCAGTTAACGTGGTCGGCCCGCCATTTTTACTGGTCGGCCAGCTACCTTTTTTGGTTTTTCAGGAAAATTCTGTTCCCAGGTCCAACTTCAAATGGGCATAACTCCTTCATATGGACTCCTTTTCATGTCATTCTTGTGTCCAAATTGAAGCCCCGGAAGTAAGACTTCCAATGGTGGAAGCCTTGCATCAAAATTCCAACTATGCAAAAAGTTATGCCTATTTTGATGCAGCCGCGCAGTTTTGGTCCTACCCGGATTCATGCGGAACTTCTTTCAAACTAGTTTTCATCTCTCATTTCCTCTTTTCTTCAACTCAAAACCCCTAAACAAAGTGTTTTGAAATATGTTTCAAAGATTTCATCTCTCTTTCATTCATTTTCACTTTGTCCTTGCTCGGTTTATCGAAAAATGCGACATTTAACAAAATGCGAGTGTCGGAACATCGTAGAAACTTTATTTTCAAAACATCTTGAAAGAGAGGGTTTCAAGGTCTAAAATCTTTTGATCAAGATTTTTTTGGTCCAAAAGGGGTATGAAGTTGAGATTTGTCTCTCTCCTTGCTGAAGAAACTAAACTTTTTCCCTGCACACATTTCTCCACCAAGTAAACGATCAGTAGTGCCCAAGTTTTAAGGGCGGTCAAAAATGGGGTGTCTACACATACATAATCCACCAACTTAGCTACAAGATTGGTGAATGAATGGACCAACCTTCACATGGTAGCCAGCCACAAATTGGACTATTGAGGTCATTCTAGTTAAGATTGTTGGGTTATGAGGTCAAGTTAAAACCATTTTAATATCAATTGAGTTTAAGTGAATTAGTAAAAATTGGGACCAATAAATGCTATATGAGAGCCCTATGTCGCTCTGTAGACTAACGCAACTCAAATAGCAGATTGATCACTATAAATATAAATTTAAGTATAAACTTGAAACCCACCCTAACGCCAATTGATGATAGTCGCTCACACCAATTTATTTCAAGTGAATTGATGAAATTTAGGATGAACATAGACTTAACCCGCATTTGGAAACTTAACTTTTAGGCTAAAAAAATTAAAAAGTTAATCATATACACTAGTCATTCATTTTTCTTTTATAAAATAAAAAATACTCCATTCACAAAATTCATAAACTTTTTTCATTTCCTACAAAAATTAAAAACTAAAAAGTTATCAAAAAATCCAAACCCCGAACACAACCTTAATTGTGGTTCCTTCCAGTCCCCTAGAGCACTATGGTAAATAGTTTGGGCTTAGTGTTAAAGTGGCACTGCTGGAAAATCCATTTTTAGCGGCTAAAAGTACTAAAAACGTCGCTAATTCTTTTCGTGACGTTTAGTGCCAAACGCCGACGACGCAGCCGTCGCTATAACTTTATGGCATTTGAAAAACGTCGTTATATTAATATAGGCGGCGTTTTTAAAAATGCCACCAAATGTCCACCCTAACTGTACTGTGACGTCACTATGACATTTAACGACATTTTTAAAAACGCCGTCACAGACATTTATACATTTTAAAAATCTAGCTGTGGGGGTGGGATATAGTGACGTTTTTTAAACGCCACCATAGCCTTTTTTTTTTAAATTTTAAATTGTGCTAATTTTATATGGTTGAACAAAAAAAATCCTGTCAAACAATTATTAAGAACTAATAATTAATGTTTATTAAAATAATAAATAAACTAAGCTTGAAAACAAAATTAAAAATAAGAAACAATGCATTACATACCTAAGAATAGAAACAATTCAGACTTTAAATACATCAATTAAAATCAAAATGGTCAAGAAGTGTAATTTGCCCAAAAAAAAATTAAAAAGGAATAGAAAACACACTAATATGGCTTAAAATATTAAAAATACCACTTGTCTTCCAACTATATCCAAAGATGAGCCTAAACTATATGCAACAAATGATACATTTGGAACCATACAGTATGCTATAATCCAATTAAACAAGATAAAAAGAATTAGAGGGGGGA